ATCTATATGCTGGATGTGCCATGGACATTGTCGTGATGTACGACTAATTGCTGGATGTGCCATGGACATTGTTGTGATGTACGACTAATTGCTTGTTGTGCCATGGACATTGTTGTGGTGTGCATCTATATGCTGGGTGTGCCATGGACATTGTCGTGATGTGCGATTAATTGCTGGGTGTGCTATGGACATTGTCGTGATGTACGACTAATTGCTTGGTGTGCCATGGACATTGTTGTGGTGTGCATCCATATGCTGGGTGTGCCATGGACATTGTTGTAATGTGCGTCTAATTGCTGGGTGTGCCATGGACATTGTTGTGGCGTGCGACTAATTGCTGGGTGTGCCATGGACATTGTTGTGGTGTGCATCTATATGCTGGGTGTGCCATGGACATTGTCGTGGTGTGAAAGAAACTGCTGGGTGTGCCATGGACATTGTTGTAATGTGCAACTAATTGCTGGGTGTGCCATGAACATTGTTGTGGCGTGCGACAAATTTGTGGGTGTGCCATGGACATTGTTGTGGTGTGCATCTATATGCTGGGTGTGCCATTGACATTGTCGTGGTGTGCAACTGCTGGGTGTGCCATGGATATTGTTGAGGTGTGCAACTAATTGCTGGGTGCCATTCATAGTCGAGACATGAATTCCTGTAATTTTTATCCAATCATGCTGTATTACAGGAACTGAAGTGAACTGTTAATTATACTGCGAAAACAACTTATTTTAAAGTTCATGAGAACATAAAGTAGGGTTTATCTATGATCCAACATGGCATATTTTATCGAGAAACTGGACTAAAAACAATATACAGACTGTTTTCATGCAAAAAAATTGATCAGCAGTCATTGAGATATTAGTGGAATGGGCAAATCTCATTTAAATATACATAGTAGGTAATAAACATCTATTTGACACAGTACCTCTAAAAATCCTTGGAGCATCTCAGTCTTACTCCAGTAATACACACATTCTAAGTTCTATGAAACAAATTGTCTTTATTTATAAATGCAATGGTGTAGATTCAGTTTTCATAGTACAACATTTCTCAATCACAGAAATTTAAAGGGCAGTGGTTGCTACAACAGCGTTTGTCCAAATGTAGTGAAATTGTTTTGCCGCACACATGCCTTATCATCATCATTTTAGTTCAATTGGTTGTTACTGTTGTACTGGATGATAACACAAGCATCGCACATTATCTTGTGCATGCCACAAATCAAATAAGAATACAGGACAGCGTTATGCATTTTCAGTTTGAAATCAAGTACAACAGACATTATAGCATTGTATAGTTCTGCTATATAAAAATCCTGCTACACAATCTTGCTAAAATATTGCTACACATTAACAATATAAACTATAAACGCTTTGTGTCCATAGTTGTAGCTGTATGAAGTCTGACAGTTATATAGCAAGCTGAGATGCCATCTAATGTTTAATGAGGCATTTGTAAACTCTGATGAGAATAGATGTGCGATACCAATTCACAAGTACACCTCTGAATTCATGATTTTCATGGGACATTTTAGTCACTATCTGATACTTCGCTTCCAGACTGCTCCCTGCCTGAGGCTTCATTCTCTGACCCACCTCCAGACTCATTGGCTGATTCCTGATTACCTGATTCCTCATTGGCCGATCCTGAACCACCAGATTCATTATCTGACTGCTCATTGGCAGATCCAGAACCACCAGATTCATTATCTGACTGCTCATTGGCTGATTGTCCCCCACCAGATTCATTATCTGACTGCTCATTGGCAGATCCAGAACCACCAGATTCATTATCTGACTGCTCATTGGCTGATTGTCCACCACCGGATTCATTATCTGACTGCTCATTGGCAGATCCAGAACCACCAGATTCATTGCCAGATTGCTCATTGGCTGATCGGCCACCACCGGATTCATTATCTGACTGTTCATTGGCTGATCGGCCTCCACCTGATTCATTGTCTGACTGTTCATTGGCTGATCGACCACCGGATTCATTATCTGACTGCCCACCACCTGATTCATTATCAGATCCTGATCCAGACTTTTCATTGCCAGACTTGTTCTCATCACCTGACCTATCACTAGCTGAACCTCTTTCAGAACCGGAACCTCTTGCTTTTTCACCTTCACTGTCACTATTTTCATCTGAACTGGAACTACTGATGCGACGAATTCTACCAACTTTTTTAGGGCTGCTCTTTTCTTTCTCGCTTTCACTACCACTAAAAAAACAGAAAGAAAACAACAATTACACACTGTAGAACATGAACATTTGCCTGCTTTAAGTTTTCTGGTTAGATCTTTGTCATTATTGAGAGATTTACATACCCTGTCATCTTAATCATGTGCAAAAATGTGAAATAAATTTAACCTTTCTATGCAAGATTTTATGGCAAGAATGATTCATGATACGGGGGGGTACTCAAATTTTCAGATTAATACCGTAGTTGTCAAAGTATAAACCCCTGCTCGAGTATAAGCCCCCTCTCAAAATCTACAACATTTTACAATAAGTCATTTATTTGATTTTAACCCTCGTATCGTACACACGTCGATTTGTTTATGAATAAATTAGCATAAATTATCACTTGGGAGAAGTTTTAATATTTATCCGTTTATCTTTGGGGGCGGAACTACGTCACGGACGTTCCAGGTTGCTAAGACGCGCACCACTATACCATGTATTTCTATGGGCTTTGTGCGCGCTGCTGTGGAACACTGAACACTGAACAACTAAATTCATATATGTTACACACGTAGGGCTAATCTTGTTACACTGTTCAGGGGACTCTCAACAACCATCGCAAAGTACCGTTTTCTGCGAGTTTTTGGTGTTTGTTTTCACTGTAAGGGTTGCCAGGCGGTAGAAAATGCCCGGATGTCCGCCCCCAAGAATAAGCCCCCCCCCCCATTTTTCTTCTTCAATTTGCCGTTTTCCTAGAAGGTTTTATGCTCTGATAACTACGGTAAATTAATGTAA